GCTTGCATATCGAGCGGGGACCGATACCGGGAGGGGTCTGATGAGTGTGTTAGGCGGGGTGCATCGCATGTTATTGATAGATATGTACTAGGTGGGGCCCAATGTCGGGCGAGGCCCATTGTATTCATGGTATATGGTATTTTGGGGAGAACTCACTGAGCTTTGTGCTTACGGTTTAAGTTTTGTTTCAGGTACTTCCGGTTCGAAGGGGAAGGGCACGGCTTGATCGCAGCGCATCCACCCATGTTTTCCTCACTTTTTTGATTTTGGGATTGTACTCTGATAACTATTTTTACTTTGACATATTTCTGGATGGTTGATATGAATATTTGATGGTGTTGGGTTGAATGAAAAATGAAATTTTTACTTCTGATTTTTGGGATGTTACACAAATAGATTTCAAGAAAGACGGCTCTTATTAATAGCCTGGAGGTTTTCTTAATCTATGTTATCCTAGCAAAATGTGTAAAGCTTGAGATCCACTTGTAGATATAAAGCAGACATTTCAAGGTTGCAATCATCATTTTAATACAAAACCATAAGGTTTGCTTTTATATCAAAATGAATAGAACATGTGTGTTTACTAAGAACTAGTAGGAGCATAGTGACATTCCTAATCTTGTATGAATGAGACATACTTAATCATGAGAAATTACATTCTGACCATGCCATGCCTTTTCACCTTGACTCATAATGTGTTTCTAAGATGAAAGGCTTAGGAAGGACAATATACATTCTTGGAATGTAAAATCTATAGAGATAGATAAGATGAATGTTAAAAGTTTTATATCTTTATGCATATATTGACAATATCTTGAAAGAGATCAAGATAGAAGATTCCTTTGGAGGAATCTTGGCATTGTCGCATGGCACTAAGTTTGAGCCAGCCTCGAAAGGACCTAGCTCATAGGTTTGAACTAGTTGAAATGATTTATATTCGATTTTCTTGGCAAATGAATCCATCATTATGTCATGTTATGCATAAGACCTAGTATATAATAATGTTGTGATCATATCACAAGATAAAAATTGGATACATGGTTAAGTCGTTGGATGACTATGAGAACATTGTAAGAGTACTTAAGAAGAACTAAGAAAATGTATATGATATAATTAGTTTAGAATAAAATGTTCATGTAAAGAGCTACATAGGATTCTGATTTCTAAACAAGTATAGATTATTATGAATTATAATTGGATTATGACTTCATTATGGAATGAAGAGTAAGTTTAGTTGGAATGAGGTCCAAGCAAAACACAATGATACACTCTACTACAAAATAAGAATACACTACTTTAGAAGTTGAAATCAAATATGATTGGATGAATGAGTTCATTGAAAAACCATGTTGATTTCTGCCATTCAAGGATCACATAGAAATCTTTGTGACTTCAAGAGTATACTTAATCAAGCTAAGAAACACTATGTCACGAAAGAACACCAATCATATTCTCTAAGATGTTTAACTATACCTAGAATAAAGTCAAATATGGAGATGAAAGTATTCATAGAATTCACACAAACTAAGTTTAGTCAAACCCATTAATAAAGTCCTTTTTTTTGAGCTAAGTATGAATAGTCACACTTCAGCTGTAAGACTTTATTATTCTAGAAATGGGATTTTGATTTGGATTTAGTATTTGGATATTGAAACGTTATGACCACCACTATTATATGTTGTTTTGATATACTGGGATATGATCCTAACATCAATACTTGTTGTGTTCTATATTAACATGTTTAATCCATGAATAATCTTATTATTCTAAACGGTTCATAGTCGGTTATAATTGTGGGAGCAATTATGAAGTAAGACTAATATGAATTGGATTGGTTGACTCTCACCAGATGAAAGTAGGCAAGTGGTTGTAACCAAGTTTCATACGTACTTGTCAGAGAATTAGTATTGAACTGACTCGCATCAAGATCACCTCATGGGCAGTTATAAAAGCCATTTTTAGGGATTTTCTGAACTATGCAAGAGGCTTATGTAGTCAAGATGGGATTTGTTCATATTATGTGTTGAGAGTTAGACATCTAAGGTGCCTTACCAAAAGTTGAACACCATATGAGATTGATTGCGATCCGTATCTCATGTTCAACATGATGTCTGTGACAAAGGGATAACTGATAACTTAGCTTGTACACCAATTGTAGCTTTGAGCTTATGGGGAAATGGGCATTGATAGAATGACACAAAGTCATATGTTGTTAGGAGTAGTGAAATGTTGCTAGCAGTTCACCACTGTCTATATCAGTCTAATATGAGTCTTGCGCAAGTGGGAGATTGAAAGATCTAGTATGATCAAGAGTCATATTAAAGTGATATTGCTAATTAACATATGATCCTAAGGGTCACACTAAAAACAACTTGATACAATTATTATTTTATTAGAAATTGGTTTTAATAAATATTCCATAAACTCTTATAATTAATTGGGAAATATTATTTCATGGAAATAATAATTTTTCAAATGACAAGTAACACATTATTTCATATGGTAAGAATTAACATGTCATGCACAACATTTTGGACTAGATAAATCTTTTTTGTCTTTTACCAAAACCCGTAGTTAGTCTATGGAGAGGGAGAATAGCTTCTTTATTTGTTTAATGTAAAGAAATGAAATTTAGAGTACATGCATGGACATAATAATGATGTAGAGACATGTTTGCTTAAAGTGCTTATACCTAATGCTTAATATTTTCCACTTTATGCATAAAGACATGGGGCTTGCATTTGGTTCTTCACTCTAAGAGGAATTGCCGAAAAATGCTCTCTACCTCTCTCACTTTCTCTCTTGCAAAGAATCGATAGAAGTTACTTGCATGCTTATACTCTCTTTAATTTCATACTTTGGTTATGAACTTAAAACTTAAGAAATTAAGAGTTCTACACAAGACTAGCATCTTAAATCAAGTTGCTTTCATGTTGGTGTCTAAAAGGTTCCACATTCTCCATCAACTTCCAAGCCTCCCCTTGAGGATTCAAAGTCTACAAAGGTTGTTAAACTCTTCTTCTTCTTTGGTGCTTGATTTCTTTCCAAACTTTGCAAGAAGATCCATGGTTGGTTATAACTAATTTATAATTGTTCAAAAATACTCAAGTCTTCCATTGCTAAAATCTTGTTTTTGAAACTAATTTTTGAATAAAACTCAAAAATGCTTTATATCATGTTTAACTTAATGGCAATATGCCTAAACAAAATTGTCACTCTTACTTAATATAAAACACTTGATTTTAATGTTTTGTTTTCAATTGTGGTTCAATAACAATATGCCTAAATAATGATAGTTTTTTTTCTAAAATCCTTCTCATATGTTAGGTTAACAAATGTGTGAATACAAGTTTGGTTGTAGAATCAAATTTATAGATGGTCAATTTGTCAATAAAAACTTACATGAATGCCCATAAATGATGATCGATAAACAAAAAATGATGAAAGACTTATGGTGCGTTTAGTTACGGAAAAATGAGCCGTTTTCCGAAAAAAAAAATCTAAAACAATGAGAATTTTGAAAATGTGTTTAGTTCAATAATTTTTCTAAAATGTTCATAGAAATGAAAACTTTCTGTTTTCCAAAATTACAAAGAGGTTAGAAAATTTTAGAAAACTGATAATTATTGTTTTTCATATTTTTCAAATTTTAAATTTTTTCTAAAATATAAACACACAACCACCTCACGCCACCTCACCCACCCACTCCCAAGCCCCACCATCACCACCACCACCACCATTACCCCACCACTACCACTACCGCCACCGCCACCATCACCGCCCCCACTACCCACCACACCCTAGCCCTAACACCATCATCTTCGCTACCATCGCTACCACCACCTATTGAATTAACTAAGATTTCATGGATTTAAATCCATACATGTATCTAGAAGTTAAAGTGCATGTCATTAAAGCACTTGTACAACTCATACATAGAGATTTAGGTTCATATCACCCAATTCCACTATAAGAGATGGAATTTAACCATCATTGTTTGGATGGAAAACTCATGATGAACACTTAATGATCTTTAAAATTGGATTTGAGAAAGCTTAGGGTTAGAAAACCCCAAATCACCATCAAAACCCCAAACAAACATCTATGATGAAAACTGTTTGCTATATTTAACTACGCGTGCGTATGAGACAGTTTGGTTTGGTTATAGGCCAAAATTGTACCATAAGCATTACAATCGGCAAATGCATTTATGTAGCCATTGGTTATCGATTATGATTGGTTTTGGTTAACGATTTTAATCGATTAATGCATCTGGTTATCGGTTAATATCGTTTAAATCATAATGGTCCAAAATGACATAAAAATAAAAGTTCGTTTCTATTAAAATGAAAACTAAAAGTGCAAATAGTGAAAATCAGAAAGTATGTTCCTATGATTGGCAAAAACATGAAAATCCGTTGCTATTTGTTAATATGCATCTTCTTCTGTTGTACGAGAAAAATCCACAAATATAGGCTGATACTTTGCGAGTTTACATTTGTATCTCAGTCTTCAAATTCTTTTCCTTATTTAATTAATACAATTACCTATTATATATCATTTTTTTTTAATTTTTCTTATATATTCTAGTGGTTGTATTCTGTTATGCATGAGGTGGTTTTACAACAAAACTGAAACCGAACCATTTACATTTGATTAACGGAAATCAAAAACTGCACCATTGTTTTTAGTACTATTCAGTTATAATGGACCGGTTATACAGGCCAATTCAGGTGCGATTTGGGTTTTCAGTTTTTATTTAGTTTAGGACAAAATATTGTACGAAAAATATCTTAAATTATATAGTTTTAAACGCGTAAATTGCACTTCCGTTGCCTAACCACCACCAAAAGTTTATGACATTGTTGGTGACAAGTCACCTCATACTCCACTTTACATTTATTAGCTTATCGAGTTTTGGTCGGTTTAATTTGCAGAATTTAATATAAAACGTGTCTCTGTATGATTCGGATAGAAGTTAGGTGTTTTAGTTAGTAAACGTGACCTATAATATAATATTATCATATAATATTATTTATGGGATGGGATTTTTTCCTCAAGTGTAACTAAACTCTACTCAAAATCACAAAATTGTTTTTCATAATTCTTTACTTCACTTCAATTGAAATGAACTGGGGCCCGCAAGCACATTTGTTCAACAGGTGCCCGCAAATGTTTCCTCAATGGCTGCAGCTTGATCTCGTATAGCTTTGGCCAGAATTTCCCTGTCACTGTAGTAACACAAATTATATGTTAAATAAAAATAAAAATAGATTATGAAATGGAAATCTTTTACCAAAAATCCGTTTTTTATCCGCATCCCATGCTATGCCGTTCAACACATCAATTCTGTTGCCGGATGCTATTAATCCCTCTCTAGAAAAACGAAACAGTGGAATCAGTGATTCCGGAGGTAATTGGAAAGGAGGAATAAAGAGTAAAAACCTCAATTCAGGAAGGAGAATCCATCCAATCACTGTTCCATCCACGGGTGAGATTCTAGCTATGCAGTCACTCTGTTAAAAAATGTTACATTATTTTATTTTATTTTTTAAAAAGAATGATAAAATAATAAAATATACCTGCCAAATGTTTGCCCAAACTTCATTGTTTATGTACTCTAGTTCATTGAGGTTATGCACCTCATAACTTTTATATTTCACCACCAGCTCTGTTATAACTGCATCAATTGGAGAAATATGAAGAATATTAAATTAAGAGAAAAAATGACAATATAATCTCATAATTATAGAAACCTTTCATTGTTTGAGGGTTGATGCGGTATAAGGAAGAGGATCCATCACTTCCAAAGAGGACCTTTCCATCTGTTGCTAATCCCCAGCCATCTTTCATATCATGAGTAAATTTTTTGAACTGTAATAATTAAAAATAATAGAATATAATGCTGGATATTGATTGTTTTTTTTTTTTTTTGTTGAATGGAGATGAAAATGAAGGGATAAATGTGAAGCACAAACTTTGGTTAAATTATATCGGTCATAGATGAAACCAGTTTTTTCCAACCAAGTTACTTGATACAACCTACAAAAAGTCAAAAACACATAACAGTTTTCACATCAGCATTAGAGACTCTTTATATGAAGGTTTAACAAACAAAAATAATGAGGAAAACATATTTGCAGAATGTTTGGAGGTATATTGCATGAACCTTTTCTTGTAAATGTATAATGGCATAAATAGTTTAAATTGCAAAATAAAAGATTGCTAACTGACCTTTGATCCAAAAGAGTTAGACCCTCTCCAAAATAAGCGTAATCCATGTTTTGCAGGGCTTTGATCTGGGGATACAAAGAACATAATCAATTTTAAGTTTCAAATATTGTAGTTGCAGATTTCTGATTCATTTTCCCTAAATATTTGGAGATTCATTTTATCATCTTTATTTGGAAAATATAAATATAAAAACCTTACGCCGAAAGATGCTTTATCAAATGAAAATGCAATATAATGTGATTATAACCTTAGGGAACCCATTGTTACACAGAACACACTTAGAAGGATGAACATAATGTACCTTTCCAGTCTGAAGATCAACTTCCCTAACTGATGACTGGAACCACAAAAAGAAACTGTCAATGAAGGAATCATACATGAACCAAAACATAATGTGAACTTTAACTAGTAAGAGTACCATAACCATATTCAGTTCTAACAAGGTCAGCAATTTATATGAATTTAAAACAGCCATGAGTCATTTTGACACATGATTTTTATGTGTAGAAGAACAAGCTATTTTGCTTTATTTAGCTTTTTCCAGATACAGTATGACTTTGTAATGCTCAGCAACTAGACTTAACTGATGCAGAGTATGAGAATTCTGCTAATTTGATATGAAATAGATACTCACACGTCCATTGAGACCTGTTGACTCCAATAATGTATCGTTCCCTCCATACAAAAGTCCCTGAAAGCAAACCGCATGCTTACCAATTATTCTCCATTGCTAATGCCAAACTTGATACTTATCAAATCCACAATCAATATGGAAATGTTATAAACAGCCCCAAAACGTTATGCAATCTACTGTATTTTGCGATGAAGATCGATTTTTGTATTAAATTTTGATACATGCATCAATTTTGAAAGCGAAAAAGTAACGGAACTGACATCCAGAGTCATTGTATAGCTCGCTTTTGGAATCGAAGGCAGTAACTAAGAAGAAATCCAATATCTAAAATGAACAATCATCATATACATCGAAAGACCTAAATGAGGAATTAACCTGTGTGAAAGCAGCAGGGTCGTGAGGGAACTCGTTGACGACTTCGATTGAGTGAATTTGTTCAGAAACAACGTCTGTGGATCTGAAGGAACTCCAGGTATTCCAAGAAAGGGCAATCACGGCTAACGCGGACACGACTGAAACGAGGAAAACGGTCTTTCTGGTTCGAAAAGGAGAATTAGAAGAGATAGGCATTGGAGGTGGTTGTTGGGGTTTAACGAGGCTCGATCGCTTACCATGAGCTTTCTTTCTCAAGGATCCGGCAGCCATGTGGAGTTGGACATTTGACTTGGGAATTTGGGGGAAAGACGAGGAAGACGATCTGATTCGGGGGTTGTTGAACAATGCTAAAATGCTCCAATGACCGGTGAGGAGTAGCTTCGGCGGCCGTTTTTCCATGTTTAACTTGGCTTTTTTTCTGTTTTTTAAGCATTTATAATATTAATTAATCACTATTTTATATTTTTATTGCAATAAAATGAAACATGCTTGTTAATTTAAACTTCCATCATTTTCAAATTTACACTAATAAATCAGTTTAATTATATATCACTAAATAGTATGATTTAGGGCAAAAGAACTATATATTGGTGGATTTAGACATGCAATGGGTTGTTTCTTGTACCAATAGCTTGACCAAAAGTTTGACCATATAGTGGAATAAGAAATAAACTTGATCGGAAACAAATTGTTAGGGTACACATATTGGTTTCCATGAAAGACTTGGTTTGATGACATTAAGGTTCTTGATGCTTTGTATTGTCCTCTGTTGTTTGCTATAAAAGTAGAACTTATTAAAGTTTGGGTTATTATTGATCGAATTGATAGAATGAAGTGAAAATTCTATAAAAAAAAATGATCGATTGATTAAAATTCACTGATATTGAATGAAAAACTGAGCAACTCACGATTAACGAGGCTTTTATACCAAATTTTTTTGGAACGGGCTTTTATACCAATTGAATATAGATTTTATCAATAGTAGATCCAAGTTGTAAATTCATTAACAATCAAATAGATTAAAGACATGAGAGCTGAAAATAGATCCGTCATTCGGTCACCAAAAGTTATAGATTTTTTGTGATGATAACCGAAAAAATCTTGTGATAACTAACTGATTCAACAAGCTAATTCATTATTTAATTGATTATTTATAGTGCTCTAACACATTTTGTCCAAGGAGTAAGACCCCCTATCCTTTCGGATTTTGTCACATTCTCTCAAACAACCCAATTTATCATTATCCAATTATCAAGACCGCCCCAAAGAAACATTCAAGTAATGTCTTCCAATAACTCAATCGTCTTGTTAGGAGCTCTAAAAAGCGAAAAATAATAAAAACTTAACCTCCCCAATGCCAAAAACCTTACTTTTGCTAAGATTAACTTTCAAAGTGGTGGCAAGGTAAAAACATCTAAAAATTTATACCCACAAACATAACATTATTCGCATACATAAGAGGAGATAAATAAAGACCATTATGAGGCAAAATGAATACCTTGAAATATAAATATATCACAAGCTTCTTTCAACAAAGTACTAAGGCCCTCCATTGCAATACTAAATAAAAAATGTGAAAAGGGGACTACCTTGCCTTACGTCTCTCCTAGTGAAAAATTCTTTTGTTGGTGAACCATTGACCAAAACGGAAGTTTTACCACACTGAACTAAGGCCACCCCTAATTTTGAAGGTCAGTATATATAAAAAAAAGTCTTAGAATATTTAAATTCTTATGGTTTGTCAAAGTCTCACTTCATTGTGTTGTAAGAGAGAAAAAGATGAAAAATCCTTAAGGTAGTATGTAAACTCCGAAATTGATCTTAGAAGATAGAAATTGTTAAAACCTTGGTCCTTGGTAATTATAAAGAATTGATCAATTGAACAATAAATTCAAATTTTCGTGTAATATTGTATTCATTTCTAGTGTTGATCAACTTAAGGTATTATTTGCATCCTTTCCATTATTCTTTGATCTTTAATTTGTTCTCTAATCGTGAAAACATGGGATAATGACTTAAAAGGGTAATATATTATTTGATTTGTACACATTTAGTCACTAACTTTTTTTTTCGTTCACATTTGCCCCTTTAACTTGTTAAACTGTACATATTTAGTCCTTATGACTGGCTACTCCAGGTTAGCCGGTAAAAATGACTTAATAGGGTAATATATTTCTCACTTTGTACACATTTAATCCTTAATATTTTTGTACACATTTAGTCCTTAATATTTCTTTTTGTTGCAAAATAAGTCCTTTTTGTTTTTGTACTCATTCAGTACTTATGAATAATTTCTTTAGGTTTTTCTCGCGACATCTTATGTGGGATAGCCATATGGTGGTGGGATAGGTTGAGGTGGTCCTGCTATAGGCTGTAGGCCAAGATACCTGGTGCGGGCCGGCTGTAAGTCGTAGGCACTGAGGCTCGAGAAGAGCGATTGGGTTAAGGCGGCATGCTGACAAACCCTGGGTATTCCAGTCCGATGACTGATTGGACCTGTTGCATGTTGGCATTCCAGTCAGATAACTGATTAGGAGAAGGTATTCCAATCTGATGAGTGTGGGCCTGTTATGCATTATAACACGTTTGTTGTATCGGGTATTTTGGGGGAAACTCACTAAACTTTGTACTTACCCGGTTGTTTATGTTTTCAGGTTCTATCGTTGATCGTGGGAAGGAGAATGCATGAATGTACACACTCATCAACAGTATTGACGATTCCGCGTTTCTTATATTACTCATCAACAACCCCACACACTTCATTAATGATTGTCCCACATTCATAAGTAAGTATGAAAACAAAAATGACTTATTTTGAAACAAAAAAATATTAAAGACTAAATGTGTACAAAAATATTAAGGACTAAATGTGTACAAAATGAGAAATATATTACCCTATTAATTCATTTTTCCCGGCTAACCTGGAGTAATCGGTTATAAGGACTAAATGTGTACAGTTTAACAAGTTGAAGGGGTAAATGTGAACGAAAAAAAACTCAGTGACCAAATTCAAATGTATACAAATCGAAAAATATATCACCCTTTTAAGTCATTATCCCTGAAAACATTGAGATGGAAAAATTGAGGTTTAATGGGTTGAATAATGCTTTTTGAAAATTTGGATAGTACGAGGCAATGTGCATTTTGATTTTTAAGGATTATGATGAGGTATGGACGTATTAAAGGGCACATGGCCTAGGCATCCTTCATCAGAATTCTCGCCTTTAGCAACCACTTTTATTAAGAAAATAAAACAATAACAAAAAAATGACCGATATTTAGATAAGTTTAAATCGCATGCATAAAATAAACCAATTGTTCATTTCAAACAGTTAAAAACCGTTTTAATAAAATTGGTTTTACAGGGAGAATCATTACTAAAACTGAATCCATAAAAATCTGAATAAAAAGCCGTTTTTGATCATGTCATAAACATCCACAACAACACATGCTAAGATAACGCAACATTTAGACAAAATAAAACGTTAATATGAATCCTTGAAGGCATTCAGATCACAAAAATAAAGAACAAGATCCACGATTTAACAAAATTATCGAATAACACAACTCAAGTACCATAACAATAGCATTCGTCTAATCCTTACATTTAAAGATTCAACAACCCAAAACTATGAAATTCTAATGTTTTAAGAAAAACTTGAACTTGGTGGAGCACCTGCAGCACCACCTCCAAATCCACCACCACCACGGCCAAAGCTGGGTCTTCCACCAGCACCCTACACATATTATTAAACTACTTGTTATGGTAAAAGTATCACAAAGAAGTACACGATCTGATGATATAAAACCAATGTTCAATCACAAGTTATAACCAAGTATCTATCATAATATGGATTCAATTGCAGAGCTCGAGTGAAGAGGAACAATAATGGTTACCCTGTTAAAAGCAGGCTGATAGTCGGCCGGAGCTCCACCCTTTTCACCGCCGAATTCCCCAGGAGGCCCTCTTGGACCACCGCGATACCCATCCCGGTCACCGAATCTTGGTCTATCACCTTCAAATCTAGAAGGGCCGCTGAAAATTCAATCATAAAATAAACATCAGGGAACCAAAAACATCAACTTTTTTATAACAATGAGGTAAACGAACAGATTCAAAGATATTTACCGGGGACGGTCGCCGGGAGGTCCACCCATCGGACGTCCGAGGGGCTTGGCTGACTTCTTCAAAGTAGCAGGTACGATGTCAGATGGAAGATTGAGGTAAGTTCTGAGGAACTCGATCCCATCGTTGGTGAGATACCAGTAGTAATGCATCCAAGCAAATGTCTCGCGGACATATTCCTTCGATTTAAAGCTCTGCATAAGCTTAATCACCTGCAAATTCGGTACATCGATGTCTGGGTGCTTCGCCAAATTGTAATCCTTTTTAGCGTAGCAAACACCCTCTGTATACACATTAACATCATCAATCACTGTAAATATCATGGAATAGCTTTAAAAACGCTTCAGATACGTAAGTAGAGCGGGATTTAGACCTTGGAAGAGGTATTTGGAAATAGCCTTACGATTCTTCTCGGGTATAATCTGAATATGAATTAATTTGAGATTAGAGTCACGTAGTTTCGTAAGAAAATCAAAATGGGTGAAGACGACTTACCATGATTGCTGATTGAGAATGGATGATCGGAAGGGTTAGGGTTCTTCTTTGTAGCAGCAGCGGAAACCCTAGTTATGTTGATGTTCATAAATAAGGAATATTAATCATGTGGTGTGATCTGCGCCACTGACCTTAAAGCCCATTTCCCATGGCCCATTAAGTGTGGCTGGATTTCTTAGTGTTTAGTGTTAGAAAAGCCTTTCACTCATTATTGGGCTATGGGTAAGTTATAAAATCTAACTTCTAAATAACTTTTTTTTTAAAGACACTTGTAGAAATAAAATTATTATAAGCTTTAGGGAGTAATAATTAAAATGGATTATGTTGAAGGTGACGATTAAATATATTTTGGGTATTAATAATGTATTATGCTCGAATGAATGGCATGTAGACACGCACATGGGTGGAGGTTTTTTTTATCTGAGTTGGTTTTTATCTAAAAACAAACATTTTGCATCATTGCTGTGTCATCTAAGTAACCATTCCTAATGCATACTTCCATGCGGAGGTTAGTTTTCACTTTTGTTTTGATATTATCATGTCTTTAGGACAACAACAAATTCCAAAAGTATCATAGAAGCTTAAATGGTTAGTAATCATATGACATGGCGACTGAGAATAAAAAATATAGTTTATTTTCTTTCAACCAAGCTAAAATATCTAGGGCTTTAAATGTGTTTAAATTTGTATGGACCAAAAATGTTTGATTTCATATAACGTTCCAATTCGCTACTTAAGGATGGAAGTATGTTGTCAATTACTAACATTCTCTTGTAAAGTATTATAAAGTT